AACCCCCACCATCTCCCTCCCTATCCTCACCCCTGCCCTCTAGCGTAATTGAACTCTATCACTGGTGGGTCGGGTAGTGGCGGCGGTGTTGTTTCTGCTTTGAAGTAAGTATGATGACGATGATGATGATGAGGATTTATGATAATGAGGAGCAGGAGGAGGAGGAGGATGAGGAAGAGGATGATGATGATCCGTATATTGACTGATGTCATTTTAGGAGACGTATTTTATCAACAAAAAAATATAAGCAAGGATAGTTCTGCAAAGAAAATAATTGGTCGCTTTTAAGCACATGGGGGCTATCCCGGAAAAAGATGTTTTGAGAAAATCGAAGATAAAGTTTTTGCCCCTTGTTCAGTTTCTTCAAAATACAAGGAGAGTTTTGACTATAACCAAACAAATATACTCCACTTTTAGAGTAGGTCATGATTTCTGGAAACCCCCGAAATCTTGGTTAGCCCACTTGTCAGTAAAAGCGACCTATTTAGAGATACAAAATACCGACCTGTATGGTGTAGCGTTTAGGCACTTAGCTGTCGAGGGCATGAGACCTGAGTTTCCTTTCAGGGGAAATGTTTATCAAGCATCTTTTTCAGCCCAGGTTGTCCCTGACAGGCAGGGTAGGAGCCCACAGTCTAAATTATCTTAATTGTGTCAATGGAGGCGTAAAAACACATAGGTAGCTCTTTATTAAAATTGGAACAAATTTGTTCTTTGTTTCACCCCTCAGAACTGTAAAAAAAAAAAAAACGTTTTAGTTAGTGTTTTACGACACTTGCAACACAATAAGGTCATATAAGTGCCGAAGATTAGAGGTGTTACAAGAGAGTAACAAACACAAAAAAGAAGGAGGGGAGATAAGATAGATGTCTGATAGGAAAGAAGAAGCAATCCACACCAGAGCACCCACCAACCACCTATTAAATGTCTTAATTGTGTCGATGGGCGCGTAAAAACACATAGGTATCTCTTTTTAAAATTGGAAACAAATGTGTTCTTTGTTTTACCACTCAGAATTTTAAGCTTTGCGACGTTTAATTTTCTCTTCAAAAAGTGCGGACAATTCCTAAGGGCGTTGACTTCATCCCAAACAATACCAAGTTGGAACAAGAGTCGAGCCTCTTCAAGTGTTGTTTTAGTTTTAGTAGAGGTTTTACGGCGCTCGCAACTGCATACGGTCATATGAGCGCCAGAAGATTAGAGGTGTTACAAGAGAGTAACAAACAAAAAAAGAAGGAGTGGAGATATAAGGACGATAGATGTTTGATAGGAGGGAAGGAGCAAACCACACCAGAGCACCCGCCAACCACCCACAGTGCATCTCTGGGGTTTTCATAGGGGGTTTATTTTTGTTTGTTTTTCTGTTTGCTGGTTGTTGTTTGTTTGGAGTAAGGAGAGCACAGTAAGTTTTGTTTTAGTAGAGTATTTACAGGCACGGCACTCGCAACTGCATAAGGATATAAAAGCGCCAAGGGATGGATGTCAACAGAGAAGTCTTTGCAGGGAATCAGGCTTTCTTGGCTCACCTCTCTAGCTTCGACAGCACAAAGTGCTATCAAGACACCCCCGAAATAGCGGGTCCCTAAAAGAGTGACAAACATACAAAAGAAGTAGAGGAAAAATGGCGATAGCAAGGATAAGGAAAGAAAAAAAAAGCAACAGTTCCCTTTTGCAATTCCGGAACAGTTATGAGCATAACATTTATGAATCAGCCCATTTACAATTCTACTGTGCATAAGAACATGGTAATGTCCCCCCTTTGGGAATGGCCTAATGGCACTTCAGTCAGTAGCACCGCCCCCCCCCCCCCCCCCGGGGGGGGGGGGGGGAGTGGGGGGGGGGGGGGGGGGGGGGGGGGAGGGGAGAAAAAATTAAGGTAAAACGGACAAACAAAGGGAAAGTAAAGAAAAACCTACAAAAGGCTCTCGTCGCTCCCCCCCCCCCCCCAAAAAAAAAAAAAAACAACAACAACACAAAAAACCCAACAACAACAAAACACCCAAACTAACAAACAAAAAAACAAAAAAACAAAACAAAAACAAACCCAATGGAACTTGGACGCTGGCTAAGTGTCATTATGAGGATACCCCACACGAACTTTCCACATACGAGACACGCACACTTTATAATTGTAATATCTTTTATTTCAACAATAAAAATTTTTCAATAATAAAAGTTAGCAATTTAAAACAGTATGTTTTAAAGAAATTCAGATTTTCATACAATGTATAGATTCTAGATTTAGTATCTTAGATTAATTATTAGTCGTAAATAATATTTCTAGTTAAAAATAAATTCACTGACATTCTAAATCAGTTTTTTAAAAGCTACAATGCTGTAGAAAGATTCTAGTCATATACAATATAAAAAGATCAGCTGATATTCGGAAATGTTCTCGCCATTTCAATGCTGCTTTTGTAATAATGGACAACAAAGAAACATCATGCACGGTACTATATTAATTATTATTACAGCTTGCATATATTTTTTGTCTGCACCCTTGATGAATGACAGTCATCGAAGTAAGCCACGCCCATCCCGGAAGGTACGCCATTAACACTGCCGGTCCCAGCATGCAACACATTAGTGACGTAGGCCACGCCCCCCTCGCGGAGGGCTATGATTGGTGCACCGCACGAGCCCATGCACGTTGGCGCGTCGTACAGCTCACCGCCCGTGTGTCTGTGGGCGGAGAATCTTCCAGAAGAGACGACTTTGTGGCCTCCGTGTGGGAAGGAGACGATAATGGCGTGGGTGTCCATTTTCGGAGACTTCGTGCAACACGGACAGCGTTTCTCGCTTTTCGCTCCTGCGCCGCCATCATCGTTGTCTTCTGCCACCAGTCTGTCCACGACTTCCTCCAAGTACCCAAACGGAGGAAGGGGATTCAAATTCTCGTCCAGATTGAGGAGGTCTGTGTCCCACGAGTCCAGGGCGTCTTCTGTGCCAACTGAAAGAAAGCTCTTTACACCCTCAGTTCTCTTCCCTCCTGTGGTGGCAGGCAGAGTCGCTCCTGTGGAAGGCAGAGCCCTTCCCGTGGTAGGCATACCGAGCGCTGTTTCAGAACTTCTCGTGGTAGGCAAACCGAGCGCTGTTTCAGAACTTCCCGTGGTAGGCAAACCAAGCGTTGTTTCAGAACTTCCCGTTTTGTCACCTCCCAATGGGGCGTTGCAGTCGAACAATAACTCGTCACTGGAACATTGTTGGGACATCTCGTCTCTGTTCTCACAGATACTCTGCAAATTTCCCTCCAGCGGGCAATTTTGAGGCGATAGAGACAAGTCAGAATTTAAAAATACATCGTTACTTCCATCCTCCATCTCCGTCTCGCTATGACTACGAGATAAAGTCGACTGGCTCTCCTCGACACCCTTCGGCTCCGCCATAGATGTCGCCATAGAAGTATAATCTGCGTTCTTCGTGTCCGTGACGTCACTTCCGCATGACGTAGACTTGTACCAGCTGGCGAAGTCCTCTCTGTGGTGAGCCTGAGCATAGAGCAGACCCTCGTACTCCCAGCCCCCGTAGCCTGGCAGTTGAGCGAAGGGCGACAGGTTGTGGCATGTCTTGGGCTGGACTAGGGGCAGGATTCCGCTGAGAAAATTCCCTGTGGGGAGGGTGAAAATAGTGAAATGGTATCAGAACGTACATGCCTTTATGAGAGCAGCAGCAACAGCAACAGCAGCAGCGACAGCGACAGCGACAGCGACAGCGACAGCGACAACAACGACGACGACGACGACGCCGACAACAACAACAGCAACAATAACGACAACGACAACGACAACGACAACGACAACAGCAACAACAACAGCAACAATAACGACAACGACAACGACAACGACAACAGCAACAATAACGACAACGACAACGACAACGACAACGACAACGACAACGACAACGACAACGACAACGACAACGACAACAACAACAGCAGCAGCAGCTGCAGCAGCAGGAACAGCACCAACAACAGCAACAGCACCAACACCAACAAAATCAACAACAAAAGTTATTTTAAAAATGAATATCTATAGAGCATATCCACGCTCTTTAGCAAGCTCTAAGCGCTTCACAACTATTATAAATAATAAATAGCATTTGTATAGCGCATGTCCCCACTCGAAAGCAAGCTCTATGCGCTTTACACTATATTATTACCCCAGCAGACCATAGAACACTCAGAAACATTCTCAGCTTCCCGGGAAGCATACAGTACAAGCAGCTGGTTAAACGCTCAAACACTAACAAACTAACAAGATCTTCCACTGTCTATAGCTGGGTACCCATTCCCACCTGGGTGAAGTGGGGAACATTCGTGTAAAGTGCCTTTCCCAAGGACACAACCTCAGGCCCGCAGCTCGAACCCCCGAACCCGCAACCTCACGACTACGAGTCCGGTAGCCTACCTACTAGACCGCCGACTCCAGCAGACCCTACTGGGAACACCCACAGACATTCTTGGCTCCCCAGGAAGCAAACAGCGCACTTTGCGGATTGCACGTGACCAACATCGTTCGTTGCCTATAGCCGGGTACCCATTCCCACCAGGGTGAGGTATGGAAAATTCATGTAAAGTAGGTTTACCAGGGACACAACTTCGGGCCCCTGACGGGATTCGAACCCACGGCCTGACGGTTGCGAGTCTGAGAGCCTAACCTGGAGGCCACCGACGCGTATGAAGTGAAATGTGAGGCTGTGAGGTGAAATCAGGCGCTCTCGTCAAAATCATGAAAATGAAGAAACTGACTTTTTCTGAGAGTTCGGAAATATTTCATCGACATTTTTTGGCTCAACATATTTTCTGTCCAGTCCAGTTAAGAACCCATTTCCGTGTGCTTTGGACTGAAAAACTGATTAAAAGTACATAACTGTAAACTGCCAGGCTCAACAGACTCTCAGGGTGTGTAATTTTTTTTGATTCATTGAAATGTCAGCTGAAGTCGTTTCTGTTTTTAAATGAATAAGATGAATATTTGGAGTGATTTTCTTTTAGTCAGAACACAACATTTTACGTTACTCTTGTGCGTTGTGCTGTATTGTAAAGCGCCCAGAGCCTGAGTACTTTAATCGGGGTTGAGCGCTTTATAAATGTCATTTGTGAGGCAGCGTAGTGGAATCAGGCTCTCGTCAATTTTTGGGCACATAGAGTTATTGGTATCACCTTAAAGCTTGTTCACTTGTCTTTATTTGAAAGAAAACAACATCAATTTATTTTGAACACCAGTCGAGATATCTTTGAAAGAAGGAGATGGGGGTCACCTGTTTTCAGAGGTAAAAGTGAGAAAATGGCTGCCAAAGATTAGTTATTTCCATAGATTAAAAGTCTATGGTAGCTGAAAATTGACATTTTTTGTGTGCCTTTAATCAACGTTCTTTAAACAAATCCACACAGAAATGAGTTCTTTAATGGGCATTAAAGGTTTTGAGCCCAAAAACTAAAATTTGATAAAAATTCACAAACCTGCAGAAAAATGCAAGTTTCTTCACTTTGATTATTTTGACGAGGGCCTGATTCCACCACGCTGCCTCACATTTATTATTATTATTATCAAATAACCCAGCTTCGAAGGCTATTTTCTCGCTAACTTTACCTCTGATGTCCGGGCGACCCCCCCCCTCCCCACCCCCTTAACTTGCAAATATCTCGACTTGTCTTCAAGGTAAATGGGCTTTTCTTTCATCGAAAGTAAGAGAACAAGATATAAGGAAGTACCAGTAACTCCACGTGCCCAAAAATTGACGAGCGTCTGATTCCACCGCGTCGCGGCACAAATAATCGCTTTTAAGGACAAGCAGGCTAACCCAGATTTCGGGGGTTTCCAGAAATCTTATCTTACACCAAGAGTGGGCATTGCTCTACCAGTAAGAAAAGTTTGGTTTTATTCGTGCGTATATTGTGTTTAGTTATAGAGAAAACACTCCTTGTCTTTTAAAGAAACTGAACGAGGGGCAAAATCTTTACCTTGATTTTCTCAAAACAGCATTTTTCGGGATAGCCCCCTTGTGCTTAAAAGCGACCAAATATTCCAACAAACGACGTACCGGCGTGAGACGAGAAGCAGCTGTACTCGCCCACACACAAACAAATCCAGGTGAAGTGAGGAAAATTCATCTAAAGCAGTTTCCCCAGAGACACAACGTCGGGCCCCTGACGGGATTCGAACCCACGACCCGACAGTAGCGAGTGTGAGAGCCTAACCACTAGGCAACCGACGCGTATTTTTTTTAGTAGAGGTTTTACGGCCCTGGCAACAGCATATGGTCATATGAGAACACGAAAATTAGGTGTTACAAGAGAGTAACAAGCATAAAAAAGAAGGGGAGATTAGGGCGACAGATATTTGATAGGAAAGAAGAAGCTAACCACACCAGAGCACCCGCCAACCACCCACACCGACGCGTACGAAGTACAATATTCCAACAAACGACCTACCGTGGGAGGGTGGCGGGTGGTGCTCTGCTGTGGTTTGCTTCTTCTTTCCTATCAAACATATATCGTCTTTATTATCATCTCCCCTCCATTTTTGTGTTTGTTACTCTCTTGTCACACCTTTAATCTTCGGCACTTACATGACCTTATTGTGTTGCAAGTGCCGTAAAACTCTTACTAAAACTAAAACTAAACGACCTACCGGCGTGAGACGAGAAGCAGCTGTACTCGCCTGCAGATCCGAACAGGTTCTGCCCCATGTACGGGCAAGACTTTTTATCAGTCTCCAACGTCCTCCGTTCCATTATCCTCAGAGGCGACGGGCAGTCCACTATGTCCTGTATAAGCCGGCTGGTCGTACAAGCAGGTGTACTTAAAACAGCGGACTCCGATGAACGTTCTTGTGAATCTGAGGGAGACTTGTATTCAAACGAGCTTACGGATTCAAACGCCTGTCTGACGAATTTCTGATCTATTCCACAGTATTCAAATGGATTGTCCTCTGGTGATAGAAATGACCTGTACTCAGAAATGTCTTCCTCCATCGGCTCAATGTCCTGATCTTTATCGGGCGTGGTCACCGCAGCATCATCGTCTCCCGATTCAGCATCATCAGCAGGGACATTGAGGAAATGGTTGCTCTCTTGAGAGGAATCAGAATCGTCGAGGAAATGATCGATTTTTGGGAACCCTAGGCCGTCTTCTTCTGTCCTCTGGTCTTCTTCTGTCCTCTGGTCCTCATCTGACGCGCCGCTAGTCCAAAACCTGTCCAGTTCTTCCGTTCGGTCTACTGAATCATTTAATTTTGTGAGTTCAGGAAGCTCGTGTACATTGATTTCCTGCTGTGTTGAGCGGAATGTGAAAGCATCTTTGACACAAGAGTCAGGCTCACATTCACATAGCGCTGTTTTTACAGCTACGCTCGTCGAGTGAATGTGTTCTAGGCTCATGCTTGACTCCGGGCTAGAGTCGGAGAAATAAGAAGAGTCGCAGAAACTGCTCGATCGGCGGTAAATGGGAATGTCGGTGAACATGTTCGAAAACTGGAGAAGACTTGGTGGTGTTTTGCATGTGAAGACACAGCTCTGTGAGAAGATGTTGCTGCGGAACCCGTCCCCCAGACCCACACACTCAAACTCGGCCGGTCGTTTACCGTCGTGTGACACGTCCAAGCTGAACGTCACTCGGGTCTTTCCGGCTTCTTCCGGCGAAGAGATCACTTTTAGATGCGTCCTGATCTCGACAAACTCTGGACCAATGAAATGAGCGAACCCCGTCCCGTAATGCTGGAATTCTTCTTCTTTTTCTTCTTTGTCTTTTTCTTCATCGAATAGATGATAGTTAAAGCCTGGATAATCTTTCGTAGCTTTTTTGTTGGAAAGTTCATCGTTGACGCTGCTGGTAGATTTGGTGACACAGAGTCTCACGACCCTGTGTGACACTGACACTATCGTGTTCCAGGTCGCCGCTCCTTGGCACGCCACAGGCAGATCGCTGGGGGAAAACTGCTGTACAGGGCGAAAGTCGTCTCTGTGGTTTACGTTGCATTCATAAGGGGACAAGTCGGTGAACAGCTGACTTTCTTGTTGGCTCACACCTCCGACGAGAGGCAGATTGTGTTCAAAATCAGTTGCCGGGATGCTGGCTTCAACGTGTGATTGGTCAAAAGTGGTGTTGTGTCCAGAGTAGAACAAGCTCTCATTGAGGGCTTGCTGATGGTGGCCGCTGACCCACACAGAGTTTTGGTCGCCTGAGGTGAATCCTGTCAGATTCACGAACCCGCTGTCGTTATAGGTCACCTCGAATGTGCTTGGTGAGTCTTCGTAGAGTCCCGTGGGTGAGCTTTTCCCGACGGCATACTCCTCAGGTCCGCCGAAACTTCTCAGACGGAGGAGGGACGCCTGTTGTTCTTGTAGCGCCCGTGGGACGAACGGTCTGCAAAGCGGGTTCAAATTGGACGTCTCCATAACGTTTCCATCGTCAGAGAATCTCGTGGATGGTAGCGATGACGTGTCTTGATCGCCGCTGCAGGAGGCGGCGCCACTGTCACTGTTGCTGTTCTTGTCGTCCCTGGTCTCCGGATCGCCGAGACCCTGGGAGCTGCTCTCTCCTCCATTACCGAGATAGCTCTCATCCTCTCTCGACGCAACCGAGGATTCCTCCGCGCTCATAGATGCAGACACAGACACAGACACAGACTTCTGGGCGGGGCGACCGACGGGACTGAAGATCGTTTGCAGTGGGGTCGGGAACGTCTTCAGACGCAGCTGCTTCTTCCGGCGCAGGGAGAACGGTTGGGACGTCTCCAGGGACTCCACATCTGCGAAGTTGTCCTCTGAGCCGTGGCTCACGCTCTCCGAGTCGTCTGACTGGCTGCACGACCTAGATGAAGGACAGCTGCTGTTGCTGCTGGTTTCCCCGCTGCTCGTCTCGCTGGTCTGCTCCAGCTGCTGGCTCGTGGCTGAGAAATAATCCTCCGACTCTACGTCACTGGCCTGGTTTGTTACACCTGTGACTTCGCACAGGGTCAAGGACTTACGGTCATCGGAACTCCTGTCGTCAAAGCGAGTATTTTTCGCCTCTTGAATTTTCTGAGCTAAGATGCCGGCAAATGACTTCCTAACTTTGACGCTGTTATCCTTCCCAGCCCCCGGTGTGTCTGAATCCTGTTCTGTACAAGCAGACGACGAAGTCTCGGATTCTGAGTCGTCGTCTTGTTGTCTACCTTCCTCAACGGACACTTCTGGCGATGTGGGAAGTTTTACATGAGCGGAGAGGTCCGTTGTAGTGAGGAAGTCTACTGCAGGGGAGACGTCTAATTTAGAGGAGGAGTCTACTTTGTTGAAAAAGTCTGTGTTCGAGGAGGGATCTACAGGAGCTGACAGGTCTGCTTTGGAGACGCCTTCTTTGTCGGAGGAAGCTACAAGAGCGGGGAAGTCTTTGAGGAAGTCTGTTGAAGCATTGTGGTGTGTTGAAGCATTGTGATGCGTTGAAGCATTGAGGTGTGTTGAATAAGTGAGGTGTGTTGAATCAGTGAGGTGTGTTGAATCAGTGAGGTGTGTTGAATCAGTGAGGTGTGTTGAATCAGTGAGGTTTGTTGAAGCAGCAGTGAGGTTTGTTGAAGCAGCAGTGAGGTGTGTTGTTGTCTTCGACATTGGAGGCTGGAATCTGTCAGTATCCTCTCCACTTGATGCAGACTGGACGAACACGTCGTTGTAGAGACAGCTGTCCTGTGCAGACAGATATTCGCTGATACTGGAGCACAGTTCCGCATTCTGTGAGGGTCTCTCTACAACAAATGCTGATTCATCAACGCTAGACAAGGAGTAATCTCGACCTTTGAACCGCGGCTGCTGCTGCTGCTGAGTGATGTTATCATACCCATTCTGCTGTTGAAATATATTATCAAACAGGTACCCATTCTTCTTTAAAAAGCCGTAATTTGACAGAAAAGCCGACGATGACTCTGTTTCAAAAACTGAAGGACATACTTTATGAGACGGCGGATAAATCTCGGCTTGGCTTTCTTGTGGGATTCTGTAGGCTGGGAGCGAGCTGGGGTTTTGGCCATGGTGAGCTAGCCCCGTGGTCGTGGGGTCTGTGTTCGGAGCTCGTCTCGTGTAGGCCGTCAGTACTGCCACTTCGTACAGGACTCGGTCCATAGCGAGCACAATGTGCCCGGCGGTGCTCGGCAGGGAATGCTGAGGAAAAGATATCAAGTTGAGAGTCAGTTACGGGATGGTATATATATAGATATTGTTTTATATAATATATATTTTTTTAATTTATAAAAAAATTGTTTGTTTGTTTGTTTTGATAAGCGTTTTTGTGGCGCTCGCGACTGCATAAGGTCATATGAGCGCGCGGACACAGCACACATTTTCAACTGGTAGGAGTGCCCCTACCAACACTTAGTTTTAATAAGAGTGTTACGGTGCTCACAACTGAATAAGGTCATATGAGCGCCAGAAGATAAGAGGTGTTACAAGAAAGTAACAAACATATAAAAGAAAAAGGGGAGATAAGGACGATAGATTATTGATTGGAAAGATGAAGCAAACCACACCAGAGCATTCGCCAACCACCCACGGGTAAGTGTTTTACAGCGCTCGAAACTTCATAAGGTCACATGAGCGCGCGAACACGCCAAACATTTTCAATTGGTAGGAACGCGCCTATGAACACTGTTTTAGTTTTAATAAGAATTTTTCGGCACTTACAACACAATAAGGTCATGTAAGTGCCCAAGAATAGATATGTTACAAGAGAGTAACATACACAAAAAGGAAGGAGAGATAAGGACGATATATGTTTGATAGGAAAGAAGGAATAAAACCACACTAGAGCACACGCCAATCACGCACCTTCCAACACTGTACAATCATCTAAAAGGGATGGAATGCTCTGACGTTAATGCACATCTCCAATAAAACCTAGACAAATGGGGCTAGAGTCTTTAAAAATCTACACCCCCATTGGAAGGAGTTCCGCAGAGGGCCGGCCTACCAACAACACACAAAAGAGGGGATATTTTTAGCGGGTATACCCTAACCCTAGCCTAACCCTAACCTTACCCCTACCTGTACCCCTGCCCCTACCCCTACCCCTAACTCTACCCCTAACCGGGTTAGGGGTTTGGTCAAGGTTAGGGTTGGGGGTAGAGGTAGGAGGAGTGTTAGGGTTAGGTCCCTTCTTTATTGTGTTTTTTGGAGTGGTCGGTCGTTACGGAAGTCCTTCCCTTTAAAAATCTACAACCCCGTCGACACAACTCAGATCCTTATGGAGGCGGGCTTCGATCCTACCAGTCAGGGCTAGCCGAGCTGAGAGGACATCACGTCCCTGCAGAAAGGCAGGGATAGTTGGTCGCTTTTAAGCACAAGGGGGCTATCCCGAAAAATGCTGTTTTGAGAAAATCGAAGGTAAAGTTTTTGCCGCTAGTTCAGTTTCTTCAAAAGACAAGGAGAGTTTTCTCTATAACCAGTGAAACCAAACCCCTATAGGTAGGGCAATGCCCCCTTTTGGTGTAGGTCAAGATTTCTGGGAATCCCCGAAATCTGGGTTAGCCCGCCTGTCCTTAAAAGCGACCATTTGAGAGCCCTGAAAACCTAAGAACAAATTTACATGAAAGAATGTCCTGCTGGGGATTCGAACCAGAAACTTCTCGCATTGTTCCAGCATGTGCCAACTGTGCTATAGGAGCACTGAAGTTTCAACCAAAGACTTTCAAATTCAACAGGCAATGATATTAAATGTATACCCCTTTGGAACAATAAAGTATGTTATCTTATATAATCAAAGACTTTCAAAGTCAACAAGCAATGATCTTAATGTATACAATCAAAGACTTTCACAACAGGCAACGATATAAAATATATACAATCAAAGACTTTCAAAGTCAACAAGCAATGATATTAAATGTATACAATCGAAGACTTTCAAAGTCAACAGGCAATGATATTAAATGTATACAATCGAAGACTTTCAAAGTCAACAGGCAATGATAATAAATGTAGGCTATATAGGGGAGGGCTTTCGTAACGAGCGACCACAGACAGTACTAGTAGAACATAGAGGTTGGGGCATGGGTAGGGGCAGGGGTAAATGTAGGGGTAGGATTTAGGTTTGGGGTAGGGTTAGGGTTAGGGTTAAGTCTTTATTGTGTTTTTTGGGGTGGTCGCTCCTTACGGAAGTCCTTCCGTATGTAGAACTAGATCTAGAATATAGTGTCAATGGGAGAGAAAACCCCATATTTTTCTGCACCTCTGTAAATTTTAATGTTACAACAATTGTACCCCGTCATCTGGTATGTAAAGGATAGGCGAAGTTCTTTGTCGCTCGGAGAAAAAAAAAGACGCTAGATCTAGTTTCCGAATTTGGAAGTTTATTTTATGTACTGTCTCTTCATTCTGCTTGAGTACTCAATGGTGTCACCATCTGCCCTGCCCTGCTCGAGGCGAGGCGAGGCGAGGCGAGGTGAGGCGAGACGCACCCAGACTGATAGAAACAAAGACAACTAGATCTAAATCTAAATCTAGATCTAGTATCTAGTTGAAAAGCTCAATGGAAAAGAAAGGAGATCGAGTGTGCAAGTTTTTTAAATTTCTAGTCTCACGATTTCCAGTTTTGTGATAACATCCGTTTTTCAATTGAACAATCAATATCTAGATCTAGATTCTACTTAGTAAGAGTAAAAATCGCATTTATAAAGCTTCGAACAAACTCGGTCCTAACGAAGATGCATGTTAATAATTGTTAAGTTAAAAACTTAAGTCCCGTCTTTTATATGACCGTGCAGTGTTGCAAAGCGCGCCAATAATATACCATTTCAATTCACGTCACTTTGAGATTGTTTTCTACAGTGCCCTCGTTTAAAAGGTAGGCAGATCTAGATCTAGATCAAACTTAGGACAGATTCTGATGTTCGTTTCGACAGTTGATGAGGGAATACTGTGGTACTAAATCTAGTGAACACACTGAAGACAACTGAATAATTTGTTGGAACTTCGAGACTTTGATAATTTTCCATTGCGGTCTCCAAATTGATCTTGTTGATTGTGGAAAACATTTATCGTTCACAATATGTACAACATTTACTAGATCTATCACTTACTTCTTGTAAGACTTGTCTTTATACAATAATGAATGTTCTTGATCCAGCTGCCAACTTTGAGAAACAACAATATGGCGGTTTCCGATGTCTTTGTATGCGGAGTCCTTCCCTGCTCTCATTTGGATCTCAACTCACGCAAAAAGCTAGATCAACTAATTCTCAAACCGAGCTGGAAAAGACAGCGCTCTCGTTTGAAACTCAAGTGTCGTCGTTTTCACGGAGTTTGGTGAGTACTCTCTCGCGAGGGTGAGTTAACTCCTTATACGCGAAGCGGGCATTTATCTCTTTGCCAGATAATTAATTGGTCGCTTTTAACCCTGTACGTACGCCGTGTTTAACTATCGTATCCATGCGACAGGGGGGACTCTGTGCCACCTCTTTCCAAAGAGGAAATTTACTCGTTAATCCGATCTGTACGCTTTGCATAGCATTAGCCGTCTGTCAAAATGATTTTTTTGAGAAATACTGAACGTTTCAAAGAGATCTTCGCATTAAAATATTCTAAAATCTGAAGAATACAATGACGGGGGAACAAAATGACCCCAGGGCGTACGGATAGGGTTA